TCGATCTTAGTAATATATGATCTTATTCATCTGCTTCGCAGTTGTCCTTCGATCTAAGTGTTCTATAATAGTCATCCGATCCTTCTTGCTTCAAAACGATGGTTTTTCGATATTTCAACTTTGAACTGTAAGAAGTGATCCATGTTTTGCTTAGAGTTATGTGTTTGGCTTCACTGCGCAGAGTTTCTTCGATCTTAGTAATATATGATCTTATTCATCTGCTTCGCAGTTGTCCTTCGATCTAAGTGTTCTATAATAGTCATCCGATCCTTCTTGCTTCAAAACGATCGATCTTTTCGCCAACAGTATAGTATTACAATGGTCCTATAATGTGTCCCACTATTCCTTTCAAATACTAGAGAGTTATGTATACGGTAACAAAGCTTTTGGCTATTCATATACTTCTCAGTGGTGCTTCGATCTTAGTGACCTCAGATCAAGTCTACCATTCATGTCTATATGCTGATTTCCCCAAACTTGAAAAATAACAAAACATAATGGTCCTTCCATTCTTTTTGTTTCCTCAACTAAAAAGCTGAGAGGGATCCACAACAATTCAATTAATGTTTAGTTTACGATCGATCGATACGATCGCTAACAACATAGTTTCCAACTTATCCTTTGAAACATTAGGGAGTATTCCATGTTTTGCATAAGGTTACAAATCATTCGCCTGCTTCTCACTTTATCTCAGTGATCTTTCGATTTTAATGATCTCTGATCAAGTTTACCAGCCATGTAATAAAGACAAACCTGTCGCAGTCGTACTTCGAACTAAATTGAACCTTGATTTGGAAAGCCTAATCTGAGATAAGAAACTTTCGACATTTGAAGGAAAATTTGAAGATACCCTTCATGGAATAACATTGTATTTTGTGTGAGTAGAAAGTAAATACTCTAAGCAATATGATCTATTGTAAAACACTCTGTCATAACTACGGTTAAAGCTACGCAATTCGTCATAAATAACTTGTACATAAATCGATTCTCCAATTTTAATGAGGGTCCACTCATGTTTAACGCTTAACGATCATTGCATGATCAAACCTTTCCTTCTCTATATAAACTCTTTAAATTTTTGGTCATAACTATGGTTAAAGCTATGCAATTCGTCACAAATAAGTTGTACAGAAATCTATCCTTCAATTTTAATGAGGATCCATTCATGTTTAACCCTTGACGATCATTGCATGATCAAACTTTTTCTTCTCTATATAAAATCTTTAAATTTTCGGCCATAACTATGGTTAAAGCTACGCAATCCGTTACAAATAAGTTGTAGGTATATGAACATAAATCAATCCTCTAATTTTAATGAGGATCGGTTCGTTTTTAACGCTTGACGATCATTGCATGATCAATCCTTTCCCTCTTTATATAAACTCTTCAAATTTCCTAACATTTTACGTAAACTTTGAATGTGTAAAAATCTAAGTACTTTCATACTTTTATTGATGTTTAGTTTACGTTGTGCAAACGATCGGTCTCTAAGTCAACACAATTTATTAGTCCTTTGATATTTTCAACTTCTCCTTGAAAACACTAGAGCGTGATGCATGTTTTGCTTTCGTATATGTTAAGCTTATTCGTCTGCTTTCACAGGGAGTGTTTCGATCTCAGTGATCACTGATCATGTCTATATGTTGATCGGTCCAACCTTGTAAAAGAACTAAACATATTAGTTCTACGATTCTTCCCGCTTCCCCTACCACTTGAGAGAGAACCACACGAATTCAATTCATGTTTAGTATACGTTGATCCATCACTTGATCTCTTCGATCAATGCTTCCAAATTCTAATATGAAACTGTAGAGAAGAATCCATGTTTTGCATACAAGCCATTTGGCTTAATCGTTTATGGTTTCTTGGATCTTTGTGATCTTTATTCAATTCTACCATCCTTGTCTGTTTGACGATCTCTCCAACGTCGTAAAAACATCGAAGTGGTTCTTCGATTCATCTTTCTTTCTCTACTAAACACTTGAGAGGGATCCACTGCAATTCAATTCATGTTTAATTTACATTGACCCATCGATCAGTCTCTTTGTCAACAGCATATAATGGTTTTTCGATATTTGAACCTTGAACTGTAAGAAGTGATCCATGTTTTGCTTAAAGTTATGTGTTTGGCTTCACTGCGCAGAGTTTCTTCGATCTTAGTAATATATGATCTTATTCATCTGCTTCGCAGTTGTCCTTCGATCTAAGTATTCTATAATAGTCATCCGATCTTTCTTGCTTCAAAACGATGGTTTTTCGGTATTTCAACTTTGAACTGTAAGAAGTGATCCATGTTTTGCATAAAGTTATGTGTTTGGCTTCACTGTGTTGGGTTTCTGCGATCTTAGTAATAAGTATATGATTTTATTCATCTCCTTCGCAGTTGTCCTTCGATCTAAGAGATCTATAATAGTCATCCGATCCTTCTTGCTTCAAAACGATCGATCGTTTTTCGCCAACAGCATAGTATTACAATGGTCCTATAATGTGTCCCACTATTCCTTTGAAATACTAGAGAGCTATGTATAGCTTATGGCTATTCATATACTTCTCAGTGGTGCTTCGATCTTAGTGACCTCAGATCAAGTCTACCATTCATGTCTATATGCTGATTTCCCCAAACTTGAAAAATAACAAAACATAATGGTCCTTCCATTCTTTTTGTTTCCTCAACTAAAAAGCTGAGAGGGATCCACAACAATTCAATTAATGTTTAGTTTACGATCGATCGATACGATCGCTAACAACATAGTTTCCAATTTATCCTTTGAAACATTAGGGAGTATTCCATGTTTTGCATATGGTTACTAATCATTCGCCTGCTTCTCATTTTCTCTCAGTGATTTTTCGATATTAATGATCTCTGATCAAGTTTACCAGCCATGTAATAAAGACAAACCTGTCGCAGTCGTACTTCGAACTAAATTGAACCTTGATTTGGAAAGCCTAATCTGAGATAAGAAACTTTCGACATTTGAAGGAAAATTTGAAGATACCCTTCATGGAATAACATTGTATTTTGTGTGAGTAGAAAGTAAATACTCTAAGCAATATGATCTATTGTAAAACACTCTGTCATAACTACGGTTAAAGCTATGCAATTCGTCACAAATAAGTTGTACAGAAATCTATCCTTTAATTTTAATGAGGATCCACTCATGTTTAACGCTTAACGATCATTGCATGATCAAGCCTTTCCTTCTTTATATAAACTCTTTAAATTTTCGGTCATAACTATGGTTAAAGCTAGCAATTCGTCACAAATAAGTTGTACAGAAATCTATCCTTCAATTTTAATGAGGATCCACTCATGTTTAACGCTTAACGATCATTGCATGATCAAACCTTTCCTTCTCTATATAAACTCTTTAAATTTTCGGTCATAACTATGGTTAAAGCTATGCAATATGTCACAAAAAGTTGTATATGGACATAAATCTATCCTTCAATTTTAATGAGGATCGATTTATGTTTAACGCTTGACGATCATTGCATGATCAATTCTTTCCCTCTTTATATAAACTCTTCAAATTTCCTAACATTTTACGTAAACTTTGAATGTGTAAAAATCTAAGTACTTTCATACTTTTTTGTGAGAAAAAAGTACTCAACCAGAAACTAAATGTATCCCAAAATACTCATCACATCATCACAGAGCTAAACTCAAGAGTACCAACAAAAAACTCTCTCCCATTATTTTGTTATTATGAAAAATATCAACCAATCACAAACGCCAAAACAATCTTTAAAAACTCACTATGCATGATAAGAATTCATAGATCAATGTATATTCTTCCGAAAAAAACCAGCTGGATTTTGTAACAAAAAAAACAACAACTATACAGAGAAACACAAGTCAGAAACGATCTTATAAGAGTTGTAGGCCAACAGGTAAACCTACATACTCGTACAAGGAAAATAAACTGATATTTTCGAACCAACAAACACAGTCAAGCCAGTCAACCAGTCAAACCAAACAACCAACCTAAAAATCGATCGTTTATTTTTTGCTGTTCAATTATTGTTGTTTTTGTTTTCACTTTTGGATTCCCTACATAGCAGATGATGATCGTCGCCGTCGTAGTCGTCGTACTACTACTACTACTACTGATGTTAATAATAATGATGATCATTCATATAAACGAATAAATTTTTGTCACAACCATAAAAAAATATCTATTCAGTTGAAATACAAACTTTGTTAAGCCAGCACCATAAAACGTTTTTAATTTGACAAAAAAAAAGTTAAAGCCGTCGGTGAATTTGTTTATGTTTTAGTTTTCGTTAATCCACTACTAGCAGCTACTACTACGTAAATCTTGTATTAACTTTAGCAATTATCATTGATCTAATTTAATTAACACCCACTCATTATGGTAAAAAAATCAAAGTTAAAATATGCTTAAATTGTAAAAAATAATTAATTTAAATAAACAACAACAAAAAAATAAAATATATATAAAATAAATAAAAAATTAATGAAAAATATGCAAATTTTATATTTTTATAAATAATTTGCATAAATTATTTACAATATATTTCTTTTCTTTCTTAAATAAAAGAAAAGCCATAAATAATAAAACAAAAAATTAAGCAACAAAAATCCATATTCATATGGTTTAGACAACAAAAAAGTTAAAATTGTTATTGTTAGATATTGATCAAGTGTATAAAAGTGGAGTGCGTTGGTTGTATTTGTTATGAATGAAAAAGTGAGTGATAAATTTAACACTTCCGACGCCTACGTATGTGCTAAAAAAAATATTGTTGTTAGAAGACAAATTAAAATAAATAGTTGTTGTTGTTGTTGCTTTAACAGCAACATTTTGCCGGTTTCTCTTTTACTAAACGCGTTCGCATAATTGGCAATGCTGATCTTGTTTATGTTTGATCTCTTGTTTGTAACATTGCCGTCGTTTGTTAATAATTAATTAAATTGCTGAATACAAAACCGAAACAAAAAAACTGCCACTTGTTAAGTTTTCTCAGCTTTAAGGAAAATGATTACCATGAATGAGCTGGTAGATTTGCGTATGCAACAGCATATTGCTCATGAAATCTATCGTCAACAGATCATGCAGAGAATACCGGGTGAGTAAATTCAATATTTCAAATAAATCTCTACTAATAAAACCTAGATTTCTAACAACCTTTCTTAATAATACAAGCAATTAGTTTGGAAATCCCAAAGTTTGGAACTCCTAAAGTTATTGTATCGTTTCTCTTCTCAGCTGTAGAATAGCTCTTGATCCGAGAAAACGAATTATTTGTCAAATTATTTTCATGTCTATTTCTATATCCGTGCAAAAGATCCGGTTTTGCTATTGATGGATCAAATTATAATCGGAATTTGCAATGTCTCTAACGATCATTGATCGTGCAGAGCATGGGTCACTCTAAGGCAAAACTTATTGAGATCTCTTCAGTTTCCGACTTGATAATGTCTGCTCAAACCACTGCTTTGTCCCGATTTGCCTATTCTAATACAAAGTTTTCCGGTTTTGCTAAATCTGTAGTAAGTTCCATGATCTTTAGTCAACTGGAAATTGAATCAGTCCCAAAACGAAGGCTGTAGAGAAACTGTTTGCGGCCGAATGTGTATTCCGTTTCTGCAGTTAGTTTGACAATCGACTGTCAATTAGAATTTGGATAGAGTGAATGAATTACTTGCCGAAATTTTTTCGTCTAATAATTGCTTTCAAGTTCTGAAAAATAACAATGAAACTTTGAACTGTTTGTACCGTTTTTGATCCATAATTTCCTTATTCTACTTCAGTAGATGTAAGTGGAACCATTTTTGACTGAGAGCAACTTAGATGACATGGAAGCAAAGATTGATCATGATCATGTCCGCAATAACTTTGTCCGCCTGTAAAAGTTAGTAAGATCGTTTTAGTTTCCAACATGATAATGTCCGCTTTAACCACTGTTTTGCCCCGATTTGCTTATTCTAATACAAAGTTTTCCGGTTTCGATAAATCTGTAATTAATTTGACGATCTTCAGTCGACAGGAAATCGCTCTCAAAGTGAAAGCTGTAGAGAAACAGTTTTGCGCCGAAACACCCGAATGTTTATTTCGGTTTCGCTAAATCCGCAGTTAGTTTGACGATCAACGTTCGACTAGATTTTGGATCGCTCTAAGAGCCAAGATTGAATGAATTACTTGCCAACATTTCTTCGTATAAATATAGCATTCAAGTTCTGAAGATTAACAATGAAACTGTGTCCTTCCCGGTTCTACTACAGTTGATGTTTGAAGAATCATTTTAGATTGAGAGCGACTTGGATTACATGGAAGCGAAAATTGATGAGAGAACAAATAATTTTTGTTATAATAATTAAAAATGTTGCCCATATCGTGATCATGTCCGCAATAACTATTGATCTCTTTCCAAATTGAATTAGTTTTCAACTGAAATTACAACCAGTAGCATCGCTTTTAAGTGGTTGATCTAGATCGTGTCAGCTTCAACAAAGATTCGCTCATTTGCCGGTTTCACTAAAACTGTTGTTAGTTTGATTATGGATCGCCCTCAAAGCGGAACGAATTATCATAATAATTGCAATCAATTTCAAAATTCATTTGATAAAATGATCATTTTCGTTATTTCGTCCACAGTTTCCCTGTTTGACTACAACTGTAGTAAGTTGGGCCACTTTTGAGGGAGTTTAACTTGGATCACTTAAACGCGAAGATTAATGAAGAAACGAATAAGTTGTCAACAGGTTTTTCTCATAATGATTGTAAATATTACCAATAAAGTGATCGTGTCCGCAATAGCCATTGCCTGCACCTTTTTATCCCTATCTAACCTTTTATGAAGCAGCTCTTAGATCTCTTTCAAAATTAGTAAATCAGTTAATAGGATTTTAAGTTTTCGAATATAGCCAATGAAATTACAAAGCAACAGTCTCCCAATAACATTGTATTTCAGTTTTACTACTTGATGAACTTTGATGAAGGGAAAATTTAATCGCTTTCAAACAGAATATTGCGGTCAGATTAGTTCCCTGAAATGCCAACATTTCATCTAATAATAATTGTATTCAGTTTCTAAATGCAGCCGTTGAAATGATCGTGTCCTACCACTGCAGTTGTGGTTAGTTCATCAATTCAGGATTATGTGAGATTTCGATCATTTCAAAGCGCAGATTGATGATTTTCCAGTTTTACTACAGATGTAACAAGTTTGACGAACTTTGATAGAGGGGAAATTGGATCGCTTCCAAGCAGAAGATTGCGGAGTTATTAGTTTCCATAGATGCCAAGCGAAGATTGTTAAGGGAGTCATGATATGATCAGTACGCAATAACAATTGCGTTTAATTTTTTTCATACCTATTTGCCTATTACGATCATTGATCAAGTGCTGCTGGATCCCTTTCCAAGCGTATGAATTAGATGAAAGTATTTTTAGTTTCCGAATAAATCTAATTAAATTACTAAGCAGTAGTATCGAAATTTCATCGTTTTTCGACCCATGATCGTCTAGAAATTATATTGCTTTCATACCAAATCTTGTCGTGGGAACTAACTAATTATTCCATGTAGCCGATATCCGTAATTAGAACTGTTTTCATACCTTTTTCGTCCATACTACAGTTCAAGTTTTTAGATTTTCTAATTATAGACCATAGTTTGGATTATTTGAATGTAATAACCGATAAATCTAATCTACAGTCATGGTTAAGATTGTGCCTGTTAGTTTAACTATTTCATTAATTTTAGAAAACAGTTTATGAAGGATCCCTCCAACCTAGCTCCTTATTGATAGTTTCTCATAGAATATACATTAATTTAGCTTTGAAACCGAACTTAGTTTTGGTTAGACGGTAAGCATCCATTTAAATCCTACTTTTCCAATTTGAGACCAACACTACAAACTGGTTTTACTATCGTGAAATGTCATAAAAGACGAAGGTTCAATGCAATGTCTATTTTTACATCAAGCAGCACCGGAATTTGAACAGGTTTTCCTTTACCATCCACGTTTTCAAAATTATCTTTTTTATCAATACCGTTTCATCCAGGATCTGAGTAAACTTATTACTCTCTTTGGTATCTAAACGATATCTAAGTTTGTTCATGAATACCCGGTATCTTACAATGAAAAGAAGAAGAATTGAATTTCATAGGGGTACAAAGTTATCTTACCTATATATCTGACCTATATATCTCGCAATAACTTTTGGAACGAACTGGTTAAATCCCAGTAAAAACTCTTGTATGTAAGACAAGGTAAATGGACTGATTGTTGGCAATTCCTCATTCAGAACATTAGTCGTCGGCTTAACAAAAAGCTTTATTGGTTTGCTTCGAATTGATAGTATATGGTGACTGTCCTTAATCGAGCATTCAAACAAGTAAGAGTAGATCAACATAGGTTACGGGTTCTAATAGTTTTTTAACAGGATATTATAAGATGTTAAGGCATCTAAGGAAAATCTGTGAAACATCGTCTATGCCTTTAATCGGGCATTCTAATAGGAATCGGTTACGGGTTCTGGTAGTATTTTTTAACAGGATATTTTACAAAAATCGGTGAAACATCGTCTATGCCTTTTGTATTCCTTCTCCTTGTAAAAATTTCTCTAAAAGTTGTAATGATAAGCATAAATCAGCAAAATATCCACTCTCTTTTAACTGTTCTCTAGGAGCCATAACATTGCTTCTGTTCCCTGTGAGCCCCTGCCCTTTTAATGAGGATTAGTACAAATTTATAGAAAATTATCCTTGTAAAGATTGTTCTAGCTAAACTAGATGGATCTTTTTTGAGGCCACACATTAATTTAAGAAGATCCCCTATAAACATTTCATACTTTTAATCTCTTCACAACTTTATTCCCTTGCAGATCCATTTCCCTCTATGCTGCCCATGTCCATGCCACGACATGTGATAATGCCACCAAGAGTAACACTGCCCGGTGTTGAAGTAACTTTACAAAATGATGATCTATGGAAGCAGTTCCATCAAATTGGAACGGAAATGATTATAACAAAAAGTGGAAGGTATGTAGTTTTTTTTTCTTATCGTCTTTCAAAAATCTCTTTTAGCGTTATTTTTTTGTCAGACAACACAGGTATGAAATATGCAACTTCTTATTGTTTATCTGGTGTAATTGTTAGTTTGAAATCAATTATCCTAAATAAGCCTTATTAACGAGGCGCCAGTATCCTTTTGTTTGCCAACACTCCGCACATACATACACACAGGTTTTATTATTATTAAAAACTTGAAAAATATCGCGCCTCGTCAATAGATCGCTCGCTGTTGGTTAACTGGCTGGCTGGCCGGCCGGCCGATTGTCTACATTAATTGTGTGTTTTTCTTAGGCGAAAAACAACAAGAAAACAATTTAAGAAAATGAATTAGCAGGGAAAGAGAAAGATTTTATGATTGCATTAACACATCCATACAAAAAAGCAACAATATGAACATTTACTAAAGTGACGATTTTAACGGCGTGGCGGACATTAGGTTTTCTACTTCTTCTACTTTATGAAAATGTTTGTATTTGAATGCAATTGCGTTTTAAGTGAAATGGTCATTAGGCAACGGCGCCTGCCAAAATGAGCAACACAAATATTAACAACGTCGCGACAAGATTTTTCACACACAAATATCAGATAGGAATTGTATTATAGCAACAATTCTATTAAACTATTTACAAATAGGAATTTGTGTTTTTTTTTGGTGAAGGGAAATCTTTAAAAAAATTTTGACATGATGAAAAGTTGTTGCAAACAGGAAGGAACCACCAACCAACCACATTAACTAGCAAACAGGTAGTTAAGCTATATGGGAGAGTGAGAGCTCTTGCTCTCATATCTCTTATAGTTAGATAAATTTAAAATGCCTTTATATCTTTTCTAATTTGCATTTCACCTGTTACTCTCTCTCTGCCTCTCACTAACAAGATCTTTAAAATTTATATTTATGTTCACAAAACATTAAATAACTTAAACCGAAAAGATTTGAAATTGATGATAAAACTGCTGCTCTATTGCTGGCGGTGCATGATCTTCATCATCAACATCAACAACAGCAGCAACAGCTTCTCTACCATGATCATCATTATCATTTGTGATCGTAAGTCTTCGTTTTAAAGAAAATACTTGTCGTATTTGTGTGCATGTAATGTGGCGTCTTTGTTATTTATGACTTGAGAACTCAGTAGGATACTCTATGGTGACGTGACTGATTTTTTTCTTATGTTACAAGTTGTTGTACCAGACACTCACTCAGAGTCATAGTATTGCAACCCAGTTGCAGTTGTGTAAAACATCCTTCACTTTGTCATTCCGTTTTTTGTTTTGGTGTCTTTTATGTGAAGCGGTAAATTTGTTTTGAAATCTTTCGTTTTCCATTTGTCCAGTTGCTAAACTATCGCTCATAAATCTTCTTGTTCCTCTCAAGGATGTTGCCGTACATCTTTGCACTGTGTTTGGTGGAAAATGGAAGGCACGTTACGTAAACTATGTAACACCTATAAATTACGTGTTAAATGTTATCAGGCTTTTAAAGATGCCTACTATGTATTTATCCATAACTAGCACCACTCACTCTTTGGGACATCAAAATGATTCACCTTTTCTTCACGTTGCCATCTTTAACATTGTTTTATGACAATTTTTGTTGATGAACTGTGAATGTTTTTCCGTCGTATATAAAGACGACTTTGGCGCCAGTTTAAAATTAATGTTTTTTTTAAAAAAAGTATTGCCAAGTTTTTGGGAATTTCGAACTTAACTATAACTGAACTATAACTCAACTATAACTGAACTAGAATTGAGCTAGAACTGAACTAGAACTGAACTAGAACTGAACTAGAACTGAACTAGAACTGAACTAGAACTGAACTAGAACTGAACTAGAACTGAACTAGAACTGAACTAGAATTGAACTAGAACTGAACTAGAACTGAACTAGAACTGAACTAGAACTGAACTAGAACTGAACTAGAACTGAACTAGAACTGAACTAGAACTGAACTAGAACTGAACTAGAACTGAACTAGAACTGAACTAGAATTGAACTAGAACTGAACTAGAACTGAACTAGAACTGAACTAGAACTGAACTAGAACTGAACTAGAACTGAACTAGAACTGAACTAGAACTGAACTAGAACTGAACTAGAACTGAACTAGAACTGAACTAGAACTGAACTAGAACTGACTAGACTGAACTAGAACTGAACTAGAACTGAACTAGAACTGAACTAGAACTGACTAGAACTGAACTAGAACTGAACTAGAACTAGAACTAGAACTGAACTAGAAACTGAACTAGAACTGAACTAGAAACTGAACTAGAACTGAACTAGAACTGAACTAGAACTGAACTAGACACTGAACTAGAACTGAACTAGACTGAACTAGAACTGAACTAGAACTGAACTAGAACGAACTAGAACGAACTAGAACTGAACTAGAACTGAACTAGAACTGAACTAGAACTGAACTAGAAACTGAACTAGAAACTGAACTAGAACTGAACTAGAACTGAACTAGAACTGAACTAGAACTGAACTAGAACTGACCTAGAACTTGAACTGAATAGAACTGAACTAGAACTGAACTAGAACTGAACTAGAATTCTGAACTAGAAACTGAACTAGAACTGAACTAGAACTGAACTAGAACTGAACTAGAACTGAACTAGAACTGATACTACGACTGACTAGAACTGAACTAGAACTGAACTAGAACTGAACTAGAACTGAACTAGAACTGAACTAGAACTGAACTAGAACTGAACTAGAACTGAACTAGAACTGAACTAGAACTGAACTAGACTGAACTAGAACTGAACTAGAACTGAACTAGAACTGAACTAGAACTGAACTAGAACTGACTAGAACTGAACAGAACTGAACTAGACTTCACTAGAACTGAACTAGAACTGAACTAGAACTGAACTAGAACTGAACTAGAACTGAACTAGAACTGAACTAGAACTGAACTAGAACGAACTAGAACTGAACTAGAACTGAACTAGAACTGAACTAGAACTGAATAGACTGAATAGAACTGAACTAGAACTGAACTAGAACTGAACTAGACGACTAGACTGAACTAGAACTGAACTAGAACTGAACTAGAACTGAACTAGAACTGAACTAGAACTGAACTAGAACTGAACTAGAACTGACTAGAACTGAGCTAGAACTGAACTAGAACTGAACTAGAACTGAACTAGAACTGAACTAGAACTAACCTAGAACTGAACTAGAACTGAACTAGAACTGAACTAGAACTGAACTAGAACTGAACTAGAACTGAACTAGAACTGAACTAGAACTGAACTAGAACTGAAACTAGAACTGAACTAGAACTGAACTAGAAACTGAACAGAACTGAACTAGAACTGAACTAGAACTGAACTAAGAACTGAACTAGAACTGAACTAGAACTGAACTAGAACTGAACTAGAACTGAACTAGAACTGAACTAGAACTGACTAGAACTGAACTAGAATGAACTAGAACTGAACTAGAACTGAACTAGAACTGAACTAGAACTGAACTAGAAATGAACTAGAAACTGAACTAGAACTGAACTAGAACTGAACTAGAACGAACTGAACTAAGAACTGGAACTAGAAAGAACTGAACTAGAACTGAAGAACTGAACTAGAACTGAACTAGAACTGAACTAGAACTGAACTAGAACTGAACCTAGAACTGAACTAGAACTGAACTAGAACTGAACTAGAACTGAACTAGAACTGAACTAGAACTGAACTAGAACTGAACTGAACTGAACTAGAACTGAACTGGAACTGAACTAGAACTGAACTAGAACTGAACTAGAACTGAACCAGAACTGAACCAGAACTGAACTAGAACTGAACTAAAACTGGAACTGAACTAAAACTGAACTGGAATTAAACTAGAACTGAAGAGTTTGATGGTCACTATAAAATCTCCACACTTATAAGAACAATAAGCCCCAAAAAATCAATTAACCCAACATTAATGGCAACACTTTTAAAACCATAAAAACACAATAAAAATATATAAAGAGATTATTGCTCAAAAGCTGATGATGATCGGTGATCGTTGACAATACACCCAGCATGTCATCTCGTTACGTTAAATACGAGCAATTTCACACTTTAAAACAAAAAAATTTTAACGAAAAAAAAAAAACAGCTTTAACAAATTTTTTTCAAGATCTTTCTCAGAAGATAAAAATTAAGTTTACTTGATCACAGCTAAAGAAACAACATTGTTTCTTCGAAGATTTTTACGTTTGTGTCTCTGCTCCATAATTTACAGAACAAAACCAACAAAACAAATTAAAAAACCTTTAAAAAAGGTAGCTTTATTATTATTATTGTTGTTGTGTGCTATAATTCTATCTGCTTTTAGATTTAAAACTTAAATTATCTTTTAAAGGTTTATTGTAATTTTTCATTTTCAAAATACTTTCTCACACAAACAAAAATCGAAAAACTTTTAAAACTAAAATGTAAAAAAAAAATCACCAACATTTTTGAAAACGTCTCATGACTTCTTTAGTTTGGGAGCTGAGATTTGTGTTGTGTTGTTTGTTTGTTGATCTTCTTGGTTGTTTATGATCATACATTATTCATGATCTCCACTTTGGTTCTTCAGTCAAAGACTGAGTTTGAGTCTAAGTTACTAATTCTGATTGTAAGTCCATGTGTCCGTCTGTGCCTGTGTGTGTTATTTGTTTCGGGGGCTTCTGCGATGGTATCTTCTTATAGTTGTGATCTTTGAAATAAATCTTCTTTTAGCCCCATCATTTATGTAGCTGAGAGAGTATCGTTTTCGTTTTTTGGTGCCTTTTTAATTTATAACACTTTTTGTTGTTAGATTTTTAGTTGTTTTAGTTTTTTTTCTGAAACAGTTTTTGTTTGTAAGCAGCAGTAGTATACAAGTGTCTTTTTTAGCGATTTAAATGGGTCTTTTAATTTGAATTTTTAATTAAACAAATTTGTTATTATTGACAAGAAAGTGAAACAAAAAGATTCAAGAAATAAAAACAAATATCAAGAATTTAAAGAAATACTTTTTATAGACAAAAAATACCTACACATGGTCTACTTATTAATTTAGTCTAAACTGATTATCTAGTACAGTGAGTTAAAACTTGTCTTTTATAAATTTTAATATTAACATTATAACACTAGATTTTCATTATAGAAACCACCAAAAAATCAAATAAATAATTAAAATTTTTAAAATAAAATAAAAAACTCACACACATAAAATTCAAATAATAAACAGTTTGTTAATTTTTATAGATTTAAATCAATTTTTTGTTGTTTTGTTTTAAAGTTCAAGTTTTATATGATTTTATTTTATTACTTATTAAGAAATTAAGCGGGATTATTTATGTTTTCCAGTCCATGTGTTGGAGTGTTAGAAAAATGAATATGCTTGTTGAATATTATGCACTCATAAAATGTGGTTAGTTAATTTAAAGATTAATTTTAATTAAACATATTTTTGAGTAATAAATTCAAATTTCACAGCAAATCAAAACCTGTTGGGTAACGATTCACATTGATTTGTTTTAACTACTAGTATATAGAGGGGCCGATCGTAAAAATTGGTAATAAATATGTATTTTCAAAACTACTAGTTTATTGATTAGAAAAATGTAATATTTAAATGTTAAAGTCGAAATTTTTAGAAACTACCTGGTTTTACTAAATGTTAATTTTTGGATTTTTGGTCAAAAATTTTAAGTTTAATTAAAAATTTGAATTTTTACTGAACAATTTACCTTTATTCAGTTTTAGTTCAGTTCAGTTCTAGTTCAGTTCTAGTTCAGTTCTAGTTCAGTTCTAGTTCAGTTCTAGTTCAGTTCTAGTTCAGTTCTAGTTCAGTTCTAGTTCAGTTCTAGTTCAGTTCTAGTTCAGTTCTAGTTCAGTTCTAGTTCAGTTCTAGTTCAGTTCTAGTTCAGTTCTAGTTCAGTTCTAGTTCAGTTCTAGTTCAGTTCTAGTTCAGTTCTAGTTCAGTTCTAGTTCAGTTCTAGTTCAGTTCTAGTTCAGTTCTAGTTCAGTTCTAGTTCAGTTCTAGTTCAGTTCTAGTTCAGTTCTAGTTCAGTTCTAGTTCAGTTCTAGTTCAGTTCTAGTTCAGTTCTAGTTCAGTTCTAGTTCAGTTCTAGTTCAGTTCTAGTTCAGTTCTAGTTCAGTTCTAGTTCAGTTCTAGTTCAGTTGTAGTTCAGTTCTAGTTCAGTTCTAGTTCAGTTCTAGTTCAGTTCTAGTTCAGTTCTAGTTCAGTTCTAGTTCAGTTCTAGTTCAGTTCTAGTTCAATTCTAGTTCAGTTCTAGTTCAGTTCTAGTTCAGTTCTAGTTCAGTTCTAGTTCAGTTCTAGTTCAGTTCTAGTTCTGTTCTAGTTCAGTTCTAGTTCAGTTCTAGTTCAGTTCTAGTTCAGTTCTAGTTCAGTTCTAGTTCAGTTCTAGTTCAGTTCTAGTTCAGTTCTAGTTCAGTTCTAGTTCAGTTCTAGTTCAGTTCTAGTTCAGTTCTAGTTCAGTTCTAGTTCAGTTCTAGTTCAGTTCTAGTTCAGTTCTAGTTCAGTTCTAGTTCAGTTCTAGTTCAGTTCTAGTTCAGTTCTAGTTCTAGTTCAGTTCTAGTTCAGTTCTAGTTCAGTTCTAGTTCAGTTCTAGTTCAGTTCTAGTTCAGTTCAGAATTTCACCTTTGACCCTTCCACCTAATATTGTAAACTTGCTCTATTTTGATAAAATATTAGACCTAAACTAAACAACACACATGTTTTCTCTAATTTCAATTACACAAAATTAAATTTTTTCAAAAACAAAAAATCTAATTTCCTTCAAAAAAAAAAAAAAAAAAAATCGGTAACAGAAAAGAATCGAACCACTTAACAATTCAATTAATTAATCATTTATGAGTCCTCAAGCGTAAAACCTCTGGAGAAAAATAAAAAACAAATTCTCTAAAACCCACAATCAAATACTCAACAACAACATACATATTTATAAATATATAATTTAAATTGGCGCCAAGGCTCGTGATCACCTGCTGTTCAACCAATGAATCCTTGTTAGCATTGCAAACCTCAAAAAGAATTTTTTTTTTTTTTTTGAAAATCCAAAAAACAACTAAATCTAAATAAAAAACAAACTAAATGAACACAAATATAAATTGAAAACCGAAACTAAAACATTTGTTTGTTTTCTTAAATATTTTGTTTAAATTTCGTTTACGATGCCATTTCATTCTTTATTTAAGATTATTTATTTAGGTCCTTTTTTGTTGTGTGTGTTTCGATCAAGGTCTGGCATAAAAAAGGAATGTTACAATTTTTTCGTATTTTCTTGTTAGATTTTACACAGTGCGCCTAAATGTTTAATTTCCTTTTCATTTTTTTCTTCTTTTCGTTGAAAAGTAAACTAAAACATTAATTACACACTACTAAAAACGTTCGCCTACACACAGAATGAAATGTTTTTTCTGTCTGGCAGTTTAAATGAACAAAAGAAAAAACGCACAATTAAATATTTGTTACGCCCCCTCTCTTTCCCTTAAGATCACTGTGCTAGTATGATCGAGAGCATTGAATAAACCTCAATGTACTTTCTCATTTCACTTAATATCTTGATAATAGTTATAGTTGATTGTTTTACAAGATCTTTGTTTTCTAAGGGATCAAATAATATATAAACGTTCTTTTCCTTTTTCTTTAAACATTTGTCTATTTATTTAATTGTGGATAAAACAAATAACATGGTTATCATTTTGTTTTTGTTATACCAACAATAATAATAATAACAAATGTTTCTATTTTTCTAGCATTTAATTGTTAATTATTGTTATTTAATTTGTTATTGTTTTCTTTTTTTTATGTTTTCTTATAGACGCATGTTTCCATCCATGCGACTGTCATTGTCTGGCCTTGAAGATGAAAGTAACTATTGTATATTATTGGAAATGGTACCAATTGGTGATTGTCGTTATAAGTTTTCCGGCTCTCAATGGGTACCAGCTGGTGGCGCTGAACCTCAATCACCGCAACGCATGTGTTTACATCCGGATAGTCCAGCGACGGGTGCTCACTGGCAGGCTCAACCGATTTTATTTAATAAAGTTAAACTGACCAATAATACTTTGGATAATAATGGACATGTAAGTTGTTAAATTTTATGTTTACTTTTGCAAATTTTACCCCCGATCTCTTATATAGAATGTTGCTATTCTGCTGGACTTCACTTTTTCACTTTTAACTTTCTTTATCTTTATAGATCGTCTTGGCCAGCATGCATAAATATCAACCACGAATACATGTTATACGTACATCGGATTTAGCTCAAATACCCTGGGCTCCACAGCAGGCATTTGTTTTTCCCGAAACCGAATTTGTAGCGGTTACTGCTTATCAGGTAAGATTTGATAACCTGTTTTATATCTAAAAAATGAGGTACTATTGAGATCCCGTTCGTAACTCACTGCCAAAAAAATATATTCTGCTACAACTCGTCGAAAACTTTTCAATGAGAAATTTGCGAAGATGTTTGTACAAAATATACGTTAAAAGTGTTACTTTTAAAAACTCGTCGAAAATATTTGTTTAGAAAACTCGTCGAAAAAATTACTCTACTTAAATCCTTGAAAGTGTTTCTAGCAAAATTTCAACGAGCATTTAAAATAAATCAAAAACTATTCTCAAGTAAACTCGTCGAAAAATTTTGTCGAGAAAACTCGTCGAAAAAAATACTCTACTTAAATCCTTGAAAGTGTTTCTCTCAAAAACTCAACGAGTATTTAAAATAAATCAAAAACTATTCTCAATTTAACTCGTCGAAAACTTTTGTTTAGAAAAGTTGAAAGTATTTTTTTCAAAAACTCAACGAGTATTTAAAATAAATCAGAAACTAATCTCAAGTAAACTCGGCGAAAACTTTTGTTTACAAAACTCGTCGAAAAAAATAACTCTAGGGAAATCTTTGAAATGATTTCTTTCAAAAACTCCAAGAGTAGTTATAATAAATCAAAAACTATTCTCAAGTAAACTCGTCGAAAAATTTAGTTTAGAAAACTCGTCGAAAAAATAACTCTAGGGAAATCTTTGAAAGTATTTCTTTCAAAAACTCAACGAGTATTTAAAATAAATCAGAAACTAATCTCAAGTAAACTCGGCGAAAACTTTAGTTTACAAAACTCGTCGAAAAAAATAACTCTAGGGAAATCTTTGAAAGTATTTCTTTCAAAAACTCAACGAGTATTTAAAATAAATCAAAAACTATTCTCAAGTAAACTCGTCGAAAACTTCTGTTTAGAAAACTAGTCGAAAAACTTACTCTTGGGAAATCCTTGAAAGTATTTCTTTCAAAAACTCCAAGAGTAGTTAAAATAAATCAAAAACTAATTTCAAGTAAACTCGTCGAAAAATTTAGTTTAGAAAACTCGTCGAAAAATAACTTTAGGGAAATCTTTGAAAGTATTTCTTTCAAAAACTCAATGAGTATTTCAAATATATCAAAAACTATTCCCAAGTAAACTCGTCGAAAGCTTTTGTTTAAAAAACTCGTCGAAAAATGGAAAGGAAATCCTTGAAAGTAGCACTTAAAATAAATCAAAAACTATTCTCAAATAAACTCGTCGAAAATGTTTCTTTAGAAAACTCGTCAAAATTACTCTACGGAAAGCCTGGAAAGTATTTCTTTCAAAAACTCAACGAGTATTTAAAATAAATTAAAAACTATTCTCAAGAAAACTCGTCGAAAAATTTAGTTTAGAATATTTAATATATTTTCTTTCATAAACTCGTCGAATAATGTTCTGCAGAATATTCGTGAAAAATTTTACTCTAAAAAAACTCGTTTTAAAAACGAGTTTTGAAATTGAGTCAAACACAATTTTACATCAAACTTTTGTACAAAAAACTCGTCGAATGAAAAATAACAAAATTTATTTTTAATAAACTCGTCAAAAAATGTTCTAGCGTAAGTTTACTTTAAAAGAATTTCTTTTACAAACTCAAATTGAAAATGAGTTGAATTCTATTTTACAGCAAACTCGTCGAAAACTTCAAACATTAAACTTGTCGAATGAAAAACAACACACTTTTTAGAACTTGTCGAATAGTTAGCTGCAGAAAATAAAACATAACTATGCTGTATAAAATTCTTCGAAAACTTTTTCTATAAAAACTGGTCGATAATATTTCTATAGCGAATTTCATTATTTCTTTCAGAAACTATTCGAGTTTTAACAATAAATCGAATTCTATTCAAAAACAAACTCGTAGTTTTTTCTAAAAATATTTAAAAAGAAAATTTTTTTATTACTCGTCGAAAAATGTTCTACCGTAAGTTTACGTTAAATTAATTTCTTTTAAAAACTCAAATTGAAAATGAGCTAAATTTTATTTGACAGCAAACTCGTCGAAAACTTTTTAACAGAGAACTCGTCGAATGAAAAATAACAAACACCTTAAACTTGTCGAGTAGTTTGCTATAAATAATAAACCAAAATTATGTTGTAAAAAATTCGTCGAAAACTTTTACTATAAAAACTGGTCGAAAATATTTCTATAGTTAAGCTCGTCAATTTTATTCAGAAGCAAACTCGTTAAAAACTTTTGAAAAATCGAGTTCTGTAGAAACTCGTCGAAAATTGGAGTATAGAAATCTAATCGAAAGATTTCTAGGAAAAGTTAGATAAAATGTTTTGTATAAAAATATTTCCGAAAAAATAACTATTCGACGAGTTTTCTAAAGAAACTTGTCGAAAACTTTTCCATAGACAAATAAAGCCAAATTTTCTAAAACTTCTAAAATGAAAACTTGTCGAAAAAGTTGCCTTAAACGGTGGATATATGAATCTGTCTTTTTCAGTAGCAGTTGCAGGATACAGTTTCTACATGTTATGTATGATTAACTTAAGGCTTCCTTTCCTAATCCTGGTTATCCTCCTATCCATCCTTATTAGTTTACCAAGAAAAACTCTAACAAAAAATACCTACATCATTCAACATAAGTGGTTAATAGCCTATTTATAAATTAACTCCCAATTACTAGACATAAAACAAACTTCTCCTACAAACCCTTAATCGAAGTCAATCAATAGTAGTTAAAATAAAATCAAGCTCATTCATTCATCCTTAAGACAACATTAATCAGTGAGTCAGTCAGTTGGTTGGAAAAATGAAAACTAAAAATCCATGCAAACCAACAAAACCATGGGTGTTCAGTTTTGCAAAAAACCACTTGAAATTTTTAGTTAATTATTTAATTTGCTCCGAGACTAAGAAAGAAAAATATACAAAAAATAAAAATAACAAGGAAAACAAAGGCACAGCAGTTGTCTCTAACAACCAAATTAGCTTGTAACGCCCAACACATCCTATTTTTCCCTTCCTACTCATCTACATAGCTAACATGATAGATGATGTTACAGAGATAGTAAGTACTATATACTAGATGTATAAGGAAGTTGTGTTGAATTTTTATAATGATGATTGCCAAAATATCCCAAGAAAAAAAATCAACTTAGTCATGTTGCCTAGTTAAGAACTTGAAGACGGGTAGTAGTAGTCTGTGATTTTAAAAACATGTCAAAAATGAATCACTAAATTCGAGAATGAAGTGGCATAATTTGATCTCTTGCTGGGTTTTTGTTTGGTTGAACTATGTCCGTTTTTGTTTTGCTGTCTGTCTGAGTCTGAATGACTGACTAAATTGGTGTTTAATATGATTTGAATGAATGTGCTTTAAGACGCCAGTCTGATGATCACATGCGTTGCGTTTCTTTTTTTTTTGTCTAATTAGCAAGATCAGTGTTGAAAACGGAAAAAGTATCGTAGGGTTTCTTTAGATTTTGATTTTTTTTTAATATTTTGAAGTGTCATCTTAGGGCAGTGTATTAAGGAATGGAATCAGTTTGTAGAAACTTGTGAAAAACTCTTCTATAATAAATTATCGTAAAGTTTGATATAAAATCAAACTAAACTATTGAACACGTTTTTTATAGAAAAACTTGAAAGATTTCCGCAGAAAAATCATTTAATAACTTTGTATTCTATACAGATTTCAATGTAGAGAACCAGTCGATAACTTTTCAATAGAAATCTAGTCAAAAGTGTTCCACTTGTCGAAAACTTTTCAATAGAAAATTAGTTGAATTATTTTCTATATGAATCTAGTCGAAAACTGTTCTGACTATAGACTAGACTATAGACTAGACTATAGACTAGACTATAGACTAGACTATAGACTAGACTATAAACTGGACTATAGACTAAACTATAGACTAGACTATAGACTAGACTATAGACTAGACTATATACTAGGCTATAGACTAGACTAGACTAGATTAGACTAGGCTAGACTACAGACTAGACTATAGACTAAAATATAGACTAGATAATAGACTAGACTATATACTAGACCATAGACTAGGCTATAGACTAGACCATAGACTAGGCTATAGACTAGACTATAGACTAGACTATAGACTAGACTATAGACTAGACTATAGACTAGGCTATAAACTAGACTATAGACTAGACTATAGACTAGACTATAAGACTAGACTATAGACTAGACTATAGACTAGACTATAGACTAGACTATAGACTAGACGATAGACTAGACTATAGACTAGACTATAGACTAGACTATAGACTAGACTATAGACTAGACTATAGACTAGACTATAGACTAGACTATAGACTAGACTATAGACTAGACTATAGACTAGACTATAGACTAGACTATAGACTAGACTATAGACTAGACTAGACTATAGACTAGACTATAGACTAGACTATAGACTAGACTATAGACTAGACTATAGACTAGACTATAGACTAGACTATAGACTAGACTATAGACTAGACTATAGACTAGACTATAGACTAGACTATAGACTAGACTATAGACTAGACTATAGACTAGACTATAGACTAGACTATAGACTAGACTATAGACTAGACTATAGACTAGACTATAGACTAGACTATAGACTAGACTATAGACTAGACTATAGACTAGACTATAGACTAGACTATAGACTAGACTATAGACTAGACTATAGACTAGACTATAGACTAGACTATAGACTAGACTATAGACTAGACTATAGACTAGACTATAGACTAGACTATAGACTAGACTATAGACTAGACTATAGACTAGACTATAGACTAGACTATAGACTAGACTATAGACTAGACTATAGACTATATAGACTAGACTATAGACTAGACTATAGACTAGACTATAGACTAGACTATAGACTAGACTATAGACTAGACTATAGACTAGACTATAGACTAGACTATAGACTAGACTATAGACTAGACTATAGACTAGACTATAGACTAGACTATAGACTAGACTATAGACTAGACTATAGACTAGACTATAGACTAGACTATAGACTAGACTAGACTAGACTATAGACTAGACTATAGACTAGACTATAGACTAGACTATAGACTAGACTATAGACTAGACTATAGACTAGACTATAGACTAGACTATAGACTAGACTATAGACTAGACTATAGACTAGACTATAGACTAGACTATAGACTAGACTATAGACTAGACTATAGACTAGACTATAGACTAGACTATAGACTAGACTATAGACTAGACTAGACTATAGACTATAGACTAGACTAGACTATAGACTAGACTATAGACTAGACTATAGACTAGACTAGACTATAGACTAGACTAGACTATAGACTAGACTATAGACTAGACTATAGACTAGACTATAGACTAGACTATAGACTAGACTAGACTAGACTAGACTAGATCAGTGTTGAAAACGGAAAAAGTATCGTAGGGTTTCTTTAGATTTTGATTTTTTTTTAATATTTTGAAGTGTCATCTTAGGGCAGTGTATTAAGGAATGGAATCAGTTTGTAGAAACTTGTGAAAAACTCTTCTATAATAAATTATCGTAAAGTTTGATATAAAATCAAACTAAACTATTGAACACGTTTTTTATAGAAAAACTTGAAAGATTTCCGCAGAAAAATCATTTAATAACTTTGTATTCTATACAGATTTCAATGTAGAGAACCAGTCGATAACTTTTCAATAGAAATCTAGTCAAAAGTGTTCCACTTGTCGAAAACTTTTCAATAGAAAATTAGTTGAATTATTTTCTATATGAATCTAGTCGAAAACTGTTCTGACTATAGACTAGACTATAGACTAGACTATAGACTAGACTATAGACTAGACTATAGACTAGACTATAAACTGGACTATAGACTAAACTATAGACTAGACTATAGACTAGACTATAGACTAGACTATATACTAGGCTATAGACTAGACTAGACTAGATTAGACTAGGCTAGACTACAGACTAGACTATAGACTAAAATATAGACTAGATAATAGACTAGACTATATACTAGACCATAGACTAGGCTATAGACTAGACCATAGACTAGGCTATAGACTAGACTATAGACTAGACTATAGACTAGACTATAGACTAGACTATAGACTAGGCTATAAACTAGACTATAGACTAGACTATAGACTAGACTATAGACTAGACTATAGACTAGACTATAGACTAGACTATAGACTAGACTATAGACTAGACTATAGACTAGACTATAGACTAGACTATAGACTAGACTATAGACTAGACTATAGACTAGACTAGACTAGACTATAGACTAGACTATAGACTAGACTATAGACTAGACTATAGACTAGGCTATAAACTAGACTATAGACTAGACTATAGACTAGACTATAGACTAGACTATAGACTAGACTATAGACTAGACTATAGACTAGACTATAGACTAGACTATAGACTAGGACTATAGACTAGACTATAGACTAGACTATAGACTAGACTATAGACTAGACTATAGACTAGACTATAGACTAGACTATAGACTAGACTATAGACTAGACTATAGACTAGACTATAGACTAGACTATAGACTAGACTATAGACTAGACTATAGACTAGACTATAGACTAGACTATAGACTAGACTATAGACTAGACTATAGACTAGACTATAGACTAGACTATAGACTAGACTATAGACTAGACTATAGACTAGACTATAGACTAGACTATAGACTAGACTATAGACTAGACTATAGACTAGACTATAGACTAGACTATAGACTAGACTATAGACTAGACTATAGACTAGACTATAGACTAGACTATAGACTAGACTATAGACTAGACTATAGACTAGACTATAGACTAGACTATAGACTAGACTATAGACTAGACTATAGACTAGACTATAGACTAGACTATAGACTAGACTATAGACTAGACTATAGACTAGACTATAGACTAGACTATAGACTAGACTATAGACTAGACTATAGACTAGACTATAGACTAGACTATAGACTAGACTATAGACTAGACTATAGACTAGACTATAGACTAGACTATAGACTAGACTATAGACTAGACTATAGACTAGACTATAGACTAGACTATAGACTAGACTATAGACTAGACTATAGACTAGACTATAGACTAGACTATAGACTAGACTATAGACTAGACTATAGACTAGACTATAGACTAGACTATAGACTAGACTATAGACTAGACTATAGACTAGACTATAGACTAGACTATAGACTAGACTATAGACTAGACTAGACTAGACTATAGACTAGACTATAGACTAGACTATAGACTATAGACTAGACTATAGACTAGACTAGACTATAGACTAGACTAGACTATAGACTAGACTATAGACTAGACTATAGACTAGACTATAGACTAGACTAGACTAGACTAGACTATAGACTAGACTAGACTAGACTATAGACTAGACTATAGACTAGACTATAGACTAGACTATAGACTAGACTATAGACTAGACTATAGACTAGACTATAGACTAGACTATAGACTAGACTATAGACTAGACTAGACTAGACTATAGACTAGACTATAGACTAGACTATAGACTAGACTATAGACTAGACTATAGACTAGACTATAGACTAGACTATAGACTATACTATAGACTAGACTATAGACTAGACTATAGACTAGACTATAGACTGGACTATAGACTAGACTATAGACTAGACTATAGACTAGACTATAGACTAGACTATAGACTAGACTATAGACTAGACTATAGACTAGACTATTGAATAGACTGTAGACTAGACTATAGACTAGACTGTAGACTAGACTATAGACTAGACTGTAGACTAGACTATAGACTAGACTGTAGACTAAATTTTTCTACTGGACGTGTCTAAAACTTTTTATAGAAAACTAGTCGAAAACTTTTCTATAGAAAACTAGACGAAAGTTTTCTACTGGACTTGTCGAAAACTTTTTTTATTGAAAACAAGTCGAAAACTTGTCTAAGCAAAACTAGTCGAAAACTTTTCTGTAGGAAACTAGTCGAAAGTGTTCTAGTTAGTCCAATAGATTTTTAAGAAAAATTAGATAAAAATTCCTTTAAAAAGAACTCGTCGAAAATGTGTCTAAAAAAATTTAGATTTCTGTGAAGAATTAAATGATAAAATGAAATAAATTAAATGACAAAAATACGGCAAATGTTTGTATAAAAAATTTCGACGAGTTTTCTATATAGAAATAGATTTTCTCTATAAATAGGAATGGAATTGGTTTGGAACATCAGTTAAATCATTTTGAGTGTGAAATAATTTATTTTTTTAACTTTTTACAAAACTGCTAAAAGAAGTTTCTCTTTTAAGTCTTTCGTTTTGTAAAGGATATTTTTATTTAAGTATCAATCTAGCGACTGTTTAAGGCAACTAAGTGATGAATTTTGAAAGACATCATTGTATTTGTATTTACAAAAATAACCCCTAACATCTTGATATCCAGAACGTTCACTTTAACTCACTCCTTTAAACTACTGCTACCGCCAAATAAATTAAAACATTTAACTGTAGCTTTTTCCACTTCATTAAGACAACCTTTTTTGCAATTTCTACAATCATCACCTTTTTCATAACTGTTTTTCTCATTTGTTTTAATTATTTCTCTTCTTTTTTAATTCTCATTACAGAATGATCGTATTACTAAACTTAAGATTGATAATAATCCTTTTGCCAAAGGGTTTCGTGAAACTGGTCAATCTCGTTGTAAACGTAAAATGTCTTCATCACCTACTGCTGAGGATCAGCCGCATCATCATCAGCAACAACAACAACAACATGATCTTATGTCTCCAACAAAATCACTGACTACTGCAATCAGTGAGTCGGGATCATCAATTTGTTCGGATAAACCAATGACGGCATACTTTAATGATCATCATCAGCAGCAGCATCATTTACTTGGGCAACATCCCGGACTAGTGGATGTAATAGAGGCCACATCACCGCAAACACTAAAACGTTTACGTTCGAATGGTTCGGCTTGTTCTTTAGATGCGGTTAGCCAAACAAATGAAACCAGTTCGGGAGGCAACATGTCGTCATCATCATTGGATTATGTTAACAGTGCTAGCAACATTTTTCAACAACAACAGTCTCAACCAATTGCTGCTAGTGGTAATGCAACATCCGTTGCCTTCATGCATCATTTCCAGCAAAACATGCAATCATTGCTACGACCTTCACTGGTCGATTTAGCCTGTTCGTATTTTGCCCGTCCCCAGCCTCTGTATCCACAACATGTTTATGCTGTGGCTGCACAACATGAAGCATTAGTTGCGGCCGGTTTGCCAACGTCATCATCACAATTACCTCCTATACCAGCACCTCATAATATGGGCGATTTGGCACAACGTTTGTCTCTGGAAAGTAGCAATGCTGCAACACCAACATCACCATCAATTGCTGATGCTAGTAGTGCAAGTGTTGGTAGTAGTAGAGGTGAATTGCCAAATCGTGTTATTGCCATTAACTCAAATACCACCTTAGAATGCATAACAAACGATGCCGATCTTTCTTCATCCGATTCATCATTAATACAAGACGATACTTCTGCTGCTGCAACAACACCGGTTACAACACCAACATCACTGGCTGCTACTTGCAATTTAAATGATGATACATTATCCCAGTCACCATCATCATGCAACAAAAACAACAACAACAGCAGCAACATCAGCAATGGCCACAGCACTAACCATAAAAAGAAAGGTTTTAGCATCTCGGCCATTTTAGGTGGTGGCAGTTAGTTAAGAATTATTGATCATTATTAGTTAGTTAGTTAGTTAGTTTGTCTGTCTGTCTGTCTGTCTGGTTAGTTAGTTTCTTAACTTGTCTAACTATTGTTTCTGCCAATGTACAATGTAATTATTATTAGTATTGCCGTTTAGTTGTAAATACTTAGTAATCATTTTATACTCATTTATTTAATTAAAAAGCTATTTTTTATTCTGTTTAATTATACATTAGCTATAAATAAAATGGATAAATAATTTATTATATTTAATAAAATGTGAAAATTAATTAATGAGAAAATGTTGTGATGATTTTTTTTTATTTATTTATAAGAGGGAGATTTAAACTTTTTGTGATGCTTCAGTCGATCACCTAACGTAACTTGAGCTAGTTGTCGCCTAACTTGTTACAAGATTAAAATTTAGGAATTTGTTAACTGATCGATATCACAACTATAGCCTACACTGTATACTAGACTATAGACTAGACCATATAATAGACTACAGACTAGAATATAAAAAAAATATAGACTAGACTATAGACTAGACTATAGACTAGACTATAGACTAGACTATAGACTAGACTATACACTAGACTATAGACTAGACTATAGACTAGACTATAGACTAGACTAGACTAGACTATAGACTAGACTATAGACTAGACTATAGACTAGACTATACACTAGACTATAGACTAGACTATAGACTAGACTATAGACTAGACTATAGACTAGACTATAGACTAGACTATAGACTAGCCTATAGACTAGACTATAGACTAGACTATAGACTAGACTATAGACTAGACTATAGACTAGACTATAGACTAGACTATAGACTAGACTATAGACTAGACTATAGACTAGACTATAGACTAGACTATAGACTAGACTATAGACTAGACTATAGACTAGACTATAGACTAGACTATAGACTAGACTATAGACTAGACTATAGACTAGACTATAGACTAGACTATAGACTAGACTATAGACTAGACTATAGACTAGACTATAGACTAGACTATAGACTAGACTATAGACTAGACTATAGACTAGACTATAGACTAGACTATAGACTAGACTATAGACTAGACTATAGACTAGACTATAGACTAGACTATAGACTAGACTATAGACTAGACTATAGACTAGACTATAGACTAGACTATAGACTAGACTATAGACTAGACTATAGACTAGACTATAGACTAGACTATAGACTAGACTATAGACTAGACTATAGACTAGACTATAGACTAGACTATAGACTAGACTATAGACTAACTAGACTAGACTTAGACTAGACTATAGACTAGACTATAGACTAGACTATAGACTAGACTATAGACTAGACTATAGACTAGACTATAGACTAGACTATAGACTAGACTATAGACTAGACTATAGACTAGACTATAGACTAGACTATAGACTAGACTATAGACTAGACTATAGACTAGACTATAGACTAGACTATAGACTAGACTATAGACTAGACTATAGACTAGACTATAGACTAGACTAGACTACAGACTAGAGACTATAGACTAGACTATAGACTAGACTATAGACTAGACTATAGACTAGTCTATAGACTAGACTATAGACTAGACTATAGACTAGACTATAGACTAGACTATAGACTAGACTATAGACTAGACTATAGACTAGACTATAGACTAGACTATAGACTAGACTATAGACTAGACTATAGACTAGACTATAGACTAGACTATAGACTAGACTATAGACTAGACTATAGACTAGACTATAGACTAGACTATAGACTAGACTATAGACTAGACTATAAGACTAGACTATAGACTAGACTAATAGACTAGACTATAGACTAGACTATAGACTAGACTATAGACTAGACTATAGACTAGACTATAGACTAGACTATAGACTAGACTATAGACTAGACTATAGACTAGACTATAGACTAGACTATAGACTAGACTATAGACTAGACTATAGACTAGACTATAGACTAGACTATAGACTAGACTATAGACTAGGACTATAGACTAGACTATAGACTAGACTATAGACTAGACTATAGACTAGACTATAGACTAGACTATAGACTAGACTATAGACTAGACTATAGACTAGACTATAGACTAGACTATAGACTAGACTATAGACTAGACTATAGACTAGACTATAGACTAGACTATAGACTAGACATAGACTAGACTATAGACTAGACTATAGACTAGACTATAGACTAGACTATAGACTAGGACTATAGACTAGACTATAGACTAGACTATAGACTAGACTATAGACTAGACTATAGACTAGACTATAGACTAGAACTTATAGACTAGACTATAGACTAGACTATAGACTAGACTATGAATACTATAGACTAGACTATAGACTAGACTATAAACTAACCTATAGACTAGACTATAGACTAGACTATAGGACTAGACTATAGACTAGACTATAGACTAGACTATAGACTAGACTATAGACTAGACTATAGACTAGACTATAGACTAGGACTTAGACTAGACTATAGACTAGGACATAGACTAGACTATAGACTAGACTATAGACTAGACTATAGACTAGACTATAGACTAGACTATAGCTAGACTATAGACTATAGACTAGATATAACTAGACTATAGACTAGACTATAGACTAGACTATAGACTAGACTATAGACTAGACTATAGACTAGACTATAGACTAGACTATAGACTAGACTATAGACTAGACTATAGGACTAGACTATAGACTAGACTATAGGACTAGACTATAGACTAGACTATAGACTAGACTATTAGACTAGACTATAGACTAGACTAAGACTAGACTATAGACTAGACTATCGACTAGACTAGACTACTATGACTAGACTATAGACTAGACTATAGACTAGACTATAGACTAGACTATAGACTAGACTATAGACTAGACTATAGACTAGACTAATAGACTAGACTATAGACTAGACTATAGACTAACTTAGACTAGACTATAGACTAGACATAGACTAGACTATAGACTAGACTATAGACTAGACTATAGACTAGACTATAGACTAGACTATAGACTAGACTATAGACTAGACTATAGACTAGACTATAGACTAGACTATAGACTAGACTATAGACTAGACTATAGACTAGACTATAGACTAGACTATAGACTAGACTATAGACTAGACTATAGACTAGACTATAGACTAGACTATAGACTAGACTATAGACTAGACTATAGACTAGACTATAGACTAGACTATAGACTAGACTATAGACTAGACTATAGACTAGACTATAGACTAGACTAGACTAACTATAGACTAGACTATAGACTAGACTATAGACTAGACTATAGACTAGACTATAGACTAGACTATAGACTAGACTATAGACTAGACTATAGACTAGACTATAGACTAGACTATAGACTAGACTATAGACTAGACTATAGACTAGACTATAGACTAGACTAGACTAGACTATAGACTAGACTATAGACTAGACTATAGACTAGACTATAGACTAGACTATAGACTAGACTATAGACTAGACTATAGACTAGACTATAGACTAGACTATAGACTAGACTATAGACTAGACTATAGACTAGACTATAGACTAGACTATAGACTAGACTATAGACTAGACTATAGACTAGACTATAGACTAGACTATAGACTAGACTATAGACTAGACTATAGACTAGACTATAGACTAGACTATAGACTAGACTATAGACTAGACTATAGACTAGACTATAGACTAGACTATAGACTAGACTATAGACTAGACTATAGACTAGACTATAGACTAGACTATAGACTAGACTATAGACTAGACTATAGACTAGACTATAGACTAGACTATAGACTAGACTATAGACTAGACTATAGACTAGACTATAGACTAGACTATAGACTAGACTATAGACTAGACTATAGACTAGACTATAGACTAGACTATAGACTAGACTATAGACTAGACTATAGACTAGACTTAGACTAGACTATAGACTAGACTATAGACTAGACTATAGACTAGACTATAGACTAGACTATAGACTAGACTATAGACTAGACTATAGACTAGACTATAGACTAGACTATAGACTAGACTATAGACTAGACTATAGACTAGACTATAGACTAGACTATAGACTAGACTATAGACTAGACTATAGACTAGACTATAGACTAGACTATAGACTAGACTATAGACTAGACTATAGACTAGACTATAGACTAGACTATAGACTAGACTATAGACTAGACTATAGACTAGACTATAGACTAGACTATAGACTAGACTATAGACTAGACTATAGACTAGACTATAGACTAGACTATAGACAGACTATAGAAGACTATAGACTAGACTATAGACTAGACTATAGACTAGACTATAGACTAGACTATAGACTTAGACTAGAAGACTACACTAAACTTGACTAGAATAGGACTAGACTATAGAACTATAGACTAGACTATAAACTAGACTATTTCTCTCAATATTTCTAAATATAAATTTGTCTATAATTTTATATTAACTTTAACTACAAATAAATGAATTTATTACAAATGTTTCAAAAAGTAGGACGACTTCCAAATACCTCCCTCCACAAACAAAATCATACACATGACATAAGTTACACCAAAAAATTCAGTGTCACAAATTTCAACAAATTTAATTTCCATGTTTAAGATCACATTCTCCAAATACGCGTTTGATTCAAATTACAAACAAAATATATTGACAAAAACGTTTAAAAAACAACAAACAAAATATTTCAATATTTAAGTCAAATGAAACATTACAACTTGAAAACTGCTACTAAAATTAAACCTACAAAAGAATTTAACAAAAAAAATAACAACACCAAAAAAAAAAATACAAAATTTTGTTTAACAAAAACAACATGTGGCATGTGCGGTTAAAAATTTAACTCATTAACACTTCCTTTCCCCCTAATTCGAAAACAATTAATGTTTTTATTGTTGTTGCTATTATT